AGTGAATCCCTTTAAGAATCAAGGATGTCAAAACATTTAACCGTTTATCCATTACTTAATTACTTTGGTCCTTATCCAGTGGGATAGTGGGGTCTTTAGAGGGCTGATTCTGGCCCACGGGCCTCATGTCCTTTGAACCATTTGTCATGTCTCACATCTGCAACACGTGCGTTAGTATGCTACAGACTTCTGATGTGCAAACAGAAACTCTGACATACGGCTGGGCGATATGACCCAAAATTCATATCTCGATATTTATTTAGCTGGATGGCGATATAGGATATATATCTCGATATTTTTTAAAGCCATAAAGTAAGAACAAACAGAGTTCTTAATCAAAGCTGTGTCCCAGATGTCACACAGGCACTTTTATTAACATACAGCATAGATGTACATGAAAAAAATTACTCAAAAATAAATTATGAGCATTTATTAAAAATAACGCTCCATAAATAAAAGAAAACAATGTTGTTTTTGAGCATAACAAAAAGCTCACAATTGTGCAGTCAAAATGTAAACTAAAAGACGATGAGCATAACAAAGACAGATTTCACAGCTGCTCTGTTCCCAAGTTCTACTGCGTGACTCACAGCCTGGAGTTTGAAATCCACTTCGTAAACACGTCGCTGAGCAGGTGCCATTTGTGGTCCTTATACACACACAATACGGTAATATTACGTTAAGGCACAGTACGTATTACTCCGCGAGGCTCCAGACTACGGTAGCCGTAATGCTCCGACAATCCATTAAGCGGTGCAGCTCCGTAGCTTACCAAAGTCGTACTAAAACATTTGACAGATTGCTGAGCGCCGTGTACCACATAAAATCGGTTCGCGGTCAGTAAGCACAGCCGGAATTATACATAAGGCGCGCTGTCAACTTTTGAGAAAATTAAAATCATTGCATGGCGTTAGCGTGGTTAGCTCGTTAGCCCGGTTAGCTCGTTAACACCGTCCAGCCCCACGCACTGGGCGATCAGCGGTAACTCGTTAACAGAGATTTGCCCCGTTGATGCAGTTATGGCGTTAACGTCACGCTGACAGTACTATAATAGTAATTTCCAAATATTTTCTTTTTACTTTTCTTTTTAAAAGTATAATACGGAGCCCGGCAAGGGACATGGGAGGAAAAAAAATTACGATGAACTTTTGCGAGATCTCGCAAAACTAACTCGAGATCTAGCAAAAGTCAGTCTTAATTTTTTTCCCATGTCCCTTACGGGGCTCCGTAGTATAAAAAGTATCTGCCCACAGATTTTATACACTAAATCACTTTGAGACGCAGTGTTTTTTGTGTCATACAGAAATAGAAGAATATGCAGGCATGATGATGATGATGATTATCATTTTGGGACTTACGGTATGTTGAACAGCAGCTCTTCATCTGCATCGCTGTCCACAAACTACAAGCAGAAAAACAAGGCGTTATGGTTACAGAAAACAGAGGCAGCCGCAGATGTTTGCGTTTGATATGACGTCACCAGTTCTGATTAAGAGCTTCACTAAAATTAAAGCGGACACAACAATGTCTCATACTGAAACTGTGCTCAGGTGAAAAAAAAAAGCAGACAGCTGCGTGGGAAATCATAAACAACAATATTCACAAAGCTGATCCCTCCTCAGCTGTCCCGAGGCTTCTTGTGAAGCTCAGAGTCAAATGTGGCTTATTTTAAAAATATTTTATAAATGACATATGAAAATATTACATATCTGAAGTCAACAACAGTGTTTTTGGATCTGTAAGACTGTGTGGGAGGTTTCATTAAAGTCCCTGTTGAGAAATTCTAAGACTTCAAGGTGTTTTCCATTTAAATGTGACTCATTTTGTGATTGTTTCAGAAAACAATTTTTTATTTTTTTTTTAAATCACCTTTCATGATTTTTAAAATGTCCTTTTTAAAAAAAAAAACAAAAAAAAAAACAAACCCTCCAAATACGATCAGTTAACTGTGGTGGAAAATATATATTTTCCCTCACATTTATTCTCGACTTCTTAAAAGACTGAAAACATAGAAATCCCTCAGCTCCAGATTTGGGTCCTTGACTGTTGACTTGACAGGTCAATTTGGGTCCAGTTTTGGTGATTTTTTTTTCCCTGCTGCTCTCTGCAGTAATTTCATGCCTGACTTTGGTCATTTATGGTTATTTTGCACTTTTGTGATCCTGTCACGCATCTCTGTGGTCATGTTGTATCTTGCTTTGATTGTATTTAAGTAAATTCGTGGTTATTTCGAGTGTCTTTTTGGTAATTTCTTGTGTCTCTGTGCAGGTGCTTTGAGTCTTGTTTCTGACTTTTGTGCTCACTTTACCGATCACTGATTGTTTTACGTCTCAGTTTGGTTGCTTTACCCATTACTTTGATTATTTTTGGACACTTTATGCACCTGACTGTGGTCATTTTGTGCTAACCATTTTCTCTCTGTTTTTAAAGGTATTTCTGTGGTCAAGTTTCACTCTTTGGTCATTTTATAAATACCTGTGATTGCTTTGAACCTCTATTCACTTCTTTTGTTTTTACTTTGGATATTTTGAAGTCACTATGCATCAGATTTTGCTTATAATGGTCATAATGTTATTCTGTCCTACTTTAAGGCAACTTGGAGCTTCTTTTTGTGGTTGTTCTTTGCATTTCAATTTTTTTGCTCGGGGGTCACATTATATGTCTCTGTGGTCATTTGACATTCTTCTGTGGGGTTTTTTTTTTGAGTTTATGCGAGTCTTCTGTGATCATATAATGGTTTCATGTGCCAATTTTATGCTTTATTTGTGGATAATTTGTGTACCTCTTTGGTCATTTTATGTCTTTGTTGTTTAATTCTAACCATTTTTGAGGCGCTCTCTCTCTTTAAGGCAATTCTGTGGTCGTTTTCTCTTATCACTTTGTGGTAATGTTTTTTCTCTCTTTATAACCATTTTGTTTCTATCAGTGTCTTTTGCGCGTGTTTGCTGCCCTGCTCCTGGTGGACCCATTTACAAACCAATCTGAAATCAATACTTCACCTTCATAGATCAATATCTGGTAAAGTTATAGGACTTGAAGTCAAGCTGCTGACTCCATGACCAGGCTGAACCTGCACCTCAAAGCTCGGTAAAGTTTAGTTTGGATATTGCGCAGCTCCGCAGCGTGCGCTCTACCTGGACACCTGCCCGGGGGAGAGGCGTTACCTTGTTCCGGTCGTTCCGCTGGTCCCACGGTTTGAACACCAGCTTGCCGTCTCCGTCCCGGCTCTCGTTGAGACACTGCAGCTTCTCCAGGTCGATCTTCTGATACAGTCCATACTCCAGGCCCCTCTCCGCGGGCTCATGCTCACCCTCACACCCGCATCCGTGCCCGTGACCATGACCGTGTCCGGACATCGTGGCCGGTTTCGTTAATCACTCCAGGTAGAAATAAAACGTAGCGTTCGCGCTGGAGCGTTTTTATAAAGTGAAATGAGCTCAGCAAGTTTCACTTGGAAGCGTGTAGTGACGTCTGCGTCAAGTTACGTGAAGTCACGAGGTAAGTTCCGGTGCAAGAATTTCAAAATAAAACTTCAAAGGTTTGCGTCAATTCGAAACGTGGTTTAGTATTATTTATCACCCAGTGAAAAAAAAAACCTTAAAACCTGAAAAAATCTCTTAAGTACTTTTTTTTTACACCTCTACATCTCCTTTAATTTTTTTCAAACTCACTGATTAGCTCATGTGCACCTTGGTCGTGTGATTGAAATCACCTGTCTCACATTGATTACCATTAAAAATTGTTTTTTTATTCGTTTTTTTTTTTTTGACTGATCCTTCTCATTCTAAGCAGTAACTTTGTCTTTCTGTAAATTTGAAATAAGGTCTAACCTTTTTTTCTTTCCAGAATGAGCAGTCTGTACGTGTCTTTTCCACAGTTCATTATCATTACTGCAGTGATTCCAACATCCAAAAAACTAAAAAAAAACTTTTTGCACTGAATTATTTCAGATTCCTTTCGTGCATTCAGACCAAATTCCCTTTCTGAACCGTTAAATTACTAATAATCATGTGGAAACACATCAAATTAAGCAGCTGATACTTAAAAGACTGAGAAGTTTTAAAAATGGCTAATTTTAAAATTAAAATGCGGTGAACAGAATAATAGCCTTTGGAATTTAATTCAAATGCTTCATTTGTGCTTCAGATACTGTGCATTGTACATTTTGTAGGTGAGAAGATATCTAATGTGTTGCATGTATTGTGGCCCAGTAATAAAGATCCTTAAAAGTAAAATGATTATTTAATTGAACTTGTAGATTATCAGCATGGTGATGTGAATCTGGAGCCTTTGATTTTGACTGTTATAAAAGAAAGGGTTAGTCTTAGTTTGAAGAAAAGAAATGGTTGGTATATTCAGTTAGTTCAGCTTTCCAACGCAAACAGAGCTTTTTCAATGGAACTTATGAGTTTTCAAGACACTTTATTTTGAAAAGAAAAAGATCCCCACAGGAAATTGTCTTCTGCTACAACGTAGCCACTTTACGACGCGAAGAGGAAAACACAAGCGATGTGCTATCAGATTGGCTCACGAGTCTTACCACCAAACGCCGGCAGTGTCGCAAACTGTTTACAAGTGTCACATAAAAATAAAAGCGACATGAGCATAAAGCAAAATGTACAAAAACCTGGATTTAATGATGTCCTCATATCAAAAACACGTTCATTACAAGGAATCTGGAAAAGTTATGTGTAAAAGAAAGTGACTATTATACAGGTTAAAAACAAAAATAAAGGAGGCTCCTGCTTCAGTTTTTTTAATAGCTGTTAAAAAAAACGTTTCTGTCTCTCATTCATTTAATCACGTTGAGCCCTGTAAAACGCTCAGCGATTGCTGAACTACTAAAAGTGATGCTGGCCGTTAAGAATAATAACCGTAGAAAAAAAATATACAGATATTATTATGTTAATAATATAAGGTAGTTTTGGTAAGATGGATCACTTCTATAAACCTGCTGCACTGCAGACTTTCTGAGTGACAAAGAGACCCACACAAACAGCTTCAGGGAAAAAGTCAATTTTAATAAAAATGACCATATAACATTTATTAAAATCTAATAAAATTACAATTTGTAATCTACTTCCATTCAGGCCCATGTTGTGGGGTGCCAGGTCCCAGTGTTGAAAATAAATACATTTCATCATCATCATCATCATGGACTGCAGCTGCAGACAACTTATGGTTCTTTTTCCAAATCTCCCCTCACTCAGTTTGTCACAGTGAAGCAGATAAAAACAGGGAAGCACACATTCGACAGCAGGGAAACATGAATTGAAGCCACAGGAGGGTTAAAGTAAGTCTACGACGCCGCACGCTCTGCTGTGCTTTCATCTTAGCCAAACACATTTTTTTTAAATGCACCAGGCAAAACATGATTAAAGTCCCCCACCATCCAGCTGATGTCTCGGGTGTCGGGACGTGCACGGTGCATGCGATTAAGAGACAAAACAAGAGTAAAAGTGTAAAAGTTTCCCACTGTAGTGTATCATTTGGTCATAGGGGAAACAACAGCTGACTGTTTTTAAAATAAGAGCCCTTTTTCTGTCCCTTACAAGGAAAAGATTCGCACTTTGGGAAATATGCTCATTACTAGTTTGATTAGAAGACAGATAAAACTATCATCTTTCATATGATAAATATGAACCGCTTGGCTTGGCACAAAGACAGGAAACAAGGGAGAAAAACAAACGTTTAAGTTCATTGTTTAACAAATGTAATCTCTTTAATTGTTATGAAAAGTCCCACTCCTTTTTCAGGCAATTTTTGTTTTTTGTTTTGTGCATTTTATGTTCAATATAGGTATTTGTTGTGCCTGGAAATGAACAAATAAATGAAATGAAATGAAAAGAGAAAATCAAGCATAAATATTAACATTTTGCATGTCAAGTCTACCGTTTCTGACCAGATGGGGAGCTTTTGCGGAAATGCTACTTTGTTCAAATGTCCCCCCCCCCCATTATTATTATTATTATTATTATTATTATTATTATTATTATTTATGAAAGGAAAACTTGATTCAGTTATTAACTGCATTAAGGTTGAGCCCTTGATGCTCAATGTCTGGTCACAGCAGTAAAAATACTGCACTTACGCTATAAATGTGAAAATCCTAGGTGAGTTTCTTCTTGAGTTATCACATTCATACACTTGACCTCTAGCCCTGACCTTGAGGTCGAGGTCACTGAGATTTAAAATCATCTGAGATTTTTAGTAGATGCACCGATGCTATCAATTTCAAAATCCTACGCTGCCCTCCCTGCCACCCAAGTGATGACAGTACACTGTCAGCCTTTTACAGGCGAGGGGTTAAAAAAAATGAACATTTGAAACAAATTGATTAGTGCAATTAGTCACAGACTGTATATAAAAGCTGGATGTGGCCATCACGACATCACCCTCTGGTTAGTGCAGCACTGAGTTGAGAGTTTTAAAACTCGGGTGGCTAACATAGTGACTTGGCCACCCACAAATAATTTAAATTATTTAGCAAAAATAATTTACAGCATTAACTTTATTTTTCATTGATTAAGACTTAAAATTAGCAGCTGAGTCCATAAACTCTTCAGGAAAATGTTAACTGAGTTTACGGATCACATTAGAAGAATTTACTCATGGACTTCTATACAATATAATTTCAGAGACGCCCCCTACTGGCCATTAGAAAGAATGCAGGTTTGAGGCAAATTTTTTTAAAGGTCACAAATTTTTTTGTGCACGTTTTGGCTGTGTACAAATGTACATGTTAATTAATGACAATTAAAGGTTCTGCTGGGGCTGATTCTGTTACAGCTGAAAACGAGCTGCTCCCCTCTTTCCAGTCTTTGTGCTGCCGGAGAAAGCGATAGAAAAATCCTCTAATCTAACCTCGCAGCAAGAATTCCCCCAAAAACTCTTTCTTTAAAAACCGTCTGCTGGAAAACATGATTCAGTAACAGACTGACTGTGTTTGTGTGTGTCCTTCTACCATGTGTACCATCGTTTAGGATTTAAATACTTAATTTAAGACCCGCAAAACAGACGTCACCACAGAAAAAAAAACATCAACCCACCCCCACAAAAAAAACAAAAACAAAGAAAAAAAAGGGAAGTTAACCATTTTTCCACAAATACTGCAAAGTTCATGTGATGTTTGCGGGGCTGAAAGTGTGCGCGCAGGGTTGGAGGGTCTCCAGTCCAATTCCGCTACACTGTAATTAAAATCACATAAAATACATTCAGTCTCTTTCACACTACCGGCGGGAGAATCTGTTCTTGAATGCTTTGATAGTTTTGGCCATCATGGGGGCGATTTCTGTGGGGAAGAAGGAAACAGGAAGAAGTGATTTGTTAGATTAAAAGACACACACAGAAAAAAAGAAATCCTCAATGGTGCTTTCAGCAAGACTTACTTTTGACTTGAGGTTTTTCCCGGGCGGCGTGTCCTACTCCGCTCGGTGCAGAGAAGCGGGATGAACCAGCGGGAGGAGGGTTGTTTTGGGAGGAAGACGACTGGCTTGATTCTCCGGAGTAGTCAGTGGTAGCCGGTCTTATTCTGAAGGACACAGGAAGAAAGCCACTGTGGTGAATATTAAAAAAAAACCCTACACAGCTCTGTCTGCAGCCGTGTGCATCGATAGAGAAGATCTTCCTCCTCGTGATTTGAAACTCAGTCTGTGATATTTATCAGGAAATCTCTAAACATCCTCTCAGTTTCTCCCTGATCTTATTCTGTACTCACTTGATAGGAGCTGCAGCTGCTGTGGAGCTGGCTGTCGAACCACTGGTGGTTCCAAACTTCTCCTGTCGGCGGCGAACATCACGGGGCGGCTTGGCGGCAGAGTTTACGTACGCCATCTTAACCTGACGTCCTGTTAGAGGAAACAACACTCTCGGTCAAACACTCAACAGCCTTAAAAATATTAAAAAAAACCCCATCATGAATCATAACTACAGAAACAAACAGAAAATCCCAAAATGCTTTTTCTTTGTGCTTTATGTGTCGATTTATACAAAACTGCAAAAGCTCGTCCCACCTTTGGGTTTGTTGGCATGCGCAGACGTGATATTCTGTGTGAGCATCCTTAGTCGCTCCTCGCGCTCGTCGTGCAGCCTCAGGTACAACTCCCTCCATGACTCGTACTCCTGCGGAGACTCCCGCTTGAAGTCGCGCCGACAGTGACGCATCCACAGCTCGTCCGATTCCTCCGTGAACCACTAAAAGGAGGCGAGAAGAATCTTCAAAAAGGGATGTATACCCATATTTCTCATGACAAAACGTGACATTAATACAACTTTTTCAACATCCAAACTTTATATTTTATAATATTTTCTGGAAAGCTGTAAACTTGCGCCAGACAGAAAAGATGGAGACAAAGAGGAAGGCGACCGACTTTAATGACGAATATGAACTTTAATGATGAATAACTGTTCTGCTTGTAAAAGTGTTACATGTGTAGCAGCCATTCAGAGTTCATCCTCCTAAGTTTCATAAAATACAGCTTGATAGTTTTTAACAAAGTTTGGAAAAAGAAAGCAAATGATGCTAAAAGATTTATCCACCTTATATTTCTATTGTGAAAACAAAACTTTTGCAGTTTGTGCAAATTAATTCTATTTCAGTGGAATAAAATAAGAAGTGAAAATTCTCTAGATTTTTCACTTCTTATAAAAACACCGGTGGCCACCAATGCTAGCACTCAGCCTGCTAGTAGATACACCTGTGATATCAATCTGAAACTCTTACATCGCCTCGTTCTCGAGATATCGCATTCACAAACCTGGGTGTCCACGCCGCTCACCTACCGGTACAACGGGGTGACAAAAATATCCCATCAGTCTTTTATGGCTGAAGGATAAAAATCAAAGAGGTCAATGTGGACGTTTTAGCTATTTTTGTGGCTACATTTTTCGATTCCACGCTCCTTCCTCAGATTAAGCTTTAAGATTAAAAGTTTCACTGAAGTCTGACATGTTACCTGGTTGCTCTGCTCGATGCGGTACAGCTGCTCTGGGGTACATCTCTCCAGAACCGGCTCCAGGATATCGAACGGCACTCCTCCCACCTCAGCGATCGCTGAAAGAGCAGAGAGGCATCGTCAGGGTGGGATTACATTTTTTGTTCATGTGCATGCACAGTTGCAGACACGTTCCTATTCGACAACACAAAAAGCAGTTGGGTGGAGTTCAGGCAAGGACCACATTTGAGTAGATACTGACTTTGAAAGACTGTGGAGACTTTCTGCTGTACTTTTATCCTTTGTTGTGAACTCTGATCACCTGGTACCTACACAGACCATCACAGTGAGTGAAGAGCAAAACAATAGCACCTTCAAGGCTATGAAATTGCCCCCACGCTATTCATGAACTTAGTCTCCGGCAAGGTTATTAGAGTTATCGTAAAGAGAAAGAGAAACTAAACTTCTCAATACACAAAAGCTAACCCTGATCTGAAACTGTACCGACTCCAAAATCTATTCTGTTCAAGGTGGGCCCAGACCTACATTGCTAAAATTATCCTGCAAATCAGTCCATCACTATCTGAGTAATCCTGCTAACAAACAGGGAAACAGATCAAACCAATCACATACCTCTGTGATGAAACTAAAAACTCTAAAACGTAAAATCCTGCAGTTGTTTAAAAGCAGCAGGCAGAGAAATAAAAGTAAAACACAGAAATTAAACTTCAAAAACGACATGCTATACTACACTTTAGATAAAATTAAACTCCTCTCATCAGCTTTAATATTTATGGTCAAACTCCGTGGCATCATCCGGCCCTTGTTGCCCCCTGCAGGGAGGCTCAGAGACTGAGAGAAATACTGCATATCCACTCACAGTCGATGTTGTTCTGCAGGACACGGATGCATTGCTCGTACAGCGTCATCATCTTGGGCAGGTAGGCGGTCTTCGATCCTGAGTAGACCACCATCTTGGAGTTAAACCGCTTCCCCGTGAAGCCTGCATCATCCTCTTCATTGCACACAGGAACTGAAAGTGAAGTGAGCGAACGTCAGAGTGAGCCTGAATGTAGAGGATGAGGAAGAATGTTTGCAGATATGCTGATGCTGGCAAGAAAATCCAGATCAGATCGCAATGTGCACGAATGTGAGAAATCGCTCGCAGGTACATGTGTGACCTGATTCAGAAGTGCAAAGATACAGAATGAGGAAAAAAAGTCTAGAAAGCATCTGTCATTCAGTCAGAAGCGGTTCCTCTCTTCACCTGCTCCTCAGCCACAACTGCACTCAAGTTTCTGCATGAAGTGAGACGTTATGTCACAAAGTTAACTAAAAGTATTTGTTTCTAAGTTATAACAACAACCACTTAAAAAAAGAAAGAAAACATTTTAAGGCGCTTAATTTATGCACAAATACGGGCACAGAAAGACTCATGGAAGGGTTCACCTTTTTGATGCCAGAGTTTGGTGTTCTCATAGCAGTTAAAGGAGAAATAACATAATGAAAAAGTTTTGATATTGGGGGCGAGGGCCTTACCTTTGCGTCTCTGAGGGGACAGCGGTGTGATGTCAATGGAGGGCAGAGGTCTGTAATTGGGCTGAATCGCTGGCAGCTGGATTTCAGGAACAGTCGGCACAGCTTCGTAAACCTACAACAAGATAAGAAACACTTTATTTATCCCAAAAGATGGGAAATGACTTATAGCAGCCAAATAATCAGAAACAACTCATTATTTGTCTGAAACTATCAGAAAGGTAACAACAGCTCAGAAAGGTAAGGTAGGGTATCAATTAAACAAAAAATAAAAACAAAAGTCAAGACCTCAATAAAAGAAAATCTAAATATGACAGAAGAAGAAGCACAACTCTAAAATGAATGCTGGTCCTGGGGTATGAGATGGATACTAAACCTGCACAGTAACTGGATGCAGTGATGTGGAAACAGCTCATCAAAGTGAGGATTTACTCAGAAAGAGGAGAGTTCAACAAGTTCAAGATTTGGCCAATCCCCCGTTTAAGTTCGTCTTCTTGTTCACCTTCAGATGGTTTTATGAGCTGCTCTTTATCCTTTTGCTTTTGTAAAACATCCACTTTGTTTTTATTTTGGGGAAATAGATGAACTCATTTCTGCTAAACCTTCTCTCTCAAACAATCAAGAACATTGCAGTCTGACAAACTCATGTTGCAGAACCTTGTGAATGTCAGTAAAACACAACAGCATCCTCCTGGTTGTGCTGCTGACCTGATGCTCTGACGTCAAGCTTTTAAACTGAACTCTTTCATTGGAAACTGCTTTATTCCAGCTGGAGACCCAGCTTTCAACTGTTGCAGCCGATACCTTCCTCTCACTGTCCCTGCTGCAGGTTCCTTCCTTTAATTAAAAATGGAGTTCTTCCTCCCCACTTTCACCAAGTGTCTGTTTTTCGAGGATTGGCTTATTTATCGAGTTTTCATTCTAATAACATAGGGTCGTTATAATATAAAAGCACCCTGAGGTGACTTATTGAGAATTGATGCTATATAACTAAGTTTGAAATGAATCGTATTAATACTGTCCAACATTTGACACTTGCACAAGATGCTTTTGACACTCTTATTTGTTTATGTTGAATATGAAGCTCTTCCAGTACACGGTTAGTTCAGCATAGCATAAACATGGACTGACCTTTGTTTGCATTTCTCTGCTTTATCATCTGTATTTCTCACTGTTGCATCATAATTTACAAAATGAGGAACATTTTTTATTAAATAAGACCTTAAACTAGCGGTTTAGGCCATAAATGAATCATTAAAGTGTTTACTGAAGTCATAAACCATGTGGGCTTATAGGTAATTTTCCCACAGAATTTTACAAAGTTAAACATGTTCTTGCAACAAGAGGAGTCGCCCCCTGCTGGCTGTTATAATGAACAACGCAGGTTTTAAAGCACTCCTGTGCAGGCCTCACGTTTCAGACCCGGAGGCTACACCTATGTTGTATCTGCAATCTGTGGTTGGTGTTTCTACTTTCTGCTTCTCTCTGCATCACCTTGACACTGGAGTTATCAACTGTTGCTAGGAAACAAAATCCCACAAGATAAAAGAAAAACTAAAGGCTAAAGGCATCTCACGGATCTGATGTTTTCACCAACATGACACCATCAGAGTTCTAACTGCAAAACCGACGGCAGCAAGCAGCAAGTTCTACAATCACTGCAGAGCCTTTAATGTCACAATGAGTGGATGAACCCTCTGCGCTGTCAGTCTTTATCAATAAAGAGAAGGAACCCTACACAAATGTCAGCTGCAGTTTTCCTCACTGAAAAAACTCTGACAGCTGCAGAAGACGCTCACAGAAGGAGTTTGAGTTACGGCTCACTCCAAGGTTAGAAAAGTACGTTTACACCCTGAAAACTAAAGCTGAGTCATCGGTTTAAACACTGACTCATGCTTGAAATTAAAAAAATGCTCATCGATGCGATCAGAGATCTGCTCTGGGTTTTGGCAGTCATTTTCTTCTACTCTCCAAGTCATCCACCTTGAGGCGACTTTTGTTGTGATTTGGCGCTATATAAATAAAATTGAATTGAATCCTTAAGGACGATTTAACACCTGTTAGAGGTCTAGTTTTACCTTTTCACAGTGTTAAGCAGGAGTTTCTTTACAATAGCTGAACAGATCATGGCATCGCACAGACCTGACAGATTTCCCCATTTTCCTGATTTTCTATGTTGATTAAATAAAAAGATAAATAACATGTTTAAAAACAGTCGGTACCTCCTTGCTTCTCGATGGCGTCGTCACCGCTGTCCTCGAATGCGTCCTCTTGGTACTCTGAGCGCCGTTCGCCTTGCGCGCTTTGGAAGAAGAAGAGGACGAAGAGGAGGATGCAGGTGGAGGTGTTCGTGTGCGATGGGAAGATGACGTTGACGAGGAGGAGTGAGACGGCCGACTGTGCGATGAAGATGAAGCTGACGGTGTCTTCTTTTTCTTCTTCACAGACGTCGGGGCGTCGTATGTGAGGAAGGACTCGAAGGACATGGTGGGCACCTCGAAGTCCTCTTCTTCCTCCTTAGGTGGAGAGTCCTTCGGCACTCGTGGTCGCCCTAAAAGATGAAGATCATCATTTATTATACTGCATTAATTTCTCTTAAAATATTCAAGAAATGACAAATATAAAACAAAGACTTTAATCCAGGATTTTATTTTGGATTTATGGACATCAGCACTTTTGTAAGAGTAGAATTTAAGGCAGGAAGCAAAGAAATCAGAGGAATTCTTGTCTGGAGGTTCAAGCCACAATCGGAACGATGTAGTAGGCTATCTGGCTAACGGTGCAGCACAATTCACATGTTACTGCTCACAAAACAACAAATATGACCTGGACCTTTGAGCACAATGTCTGTGAAGACGCATTCGGTGACCACTCTGTGTAAACTAGATTCAAACCTGAGGAGGAGGAGTGATTCTTGTGAACGGACAGACAGACGGGTGCCACGCCACAGCATAAGCGTTTCTATTTTATTGGCCAGATGCGCTAAAAACCGAGAGGTGCATGACAAACTGACATAACCATAATTTTTTGTACGCACCGCCATTTGCAAGAGCACCAACAGTGACATCACCAACACCGACACGCCTGAATACCTCACCTAAGAGGCGTCCAGGAAGCGTCCCAGTCAGATGCCTAAACCACCTCATCTTGCTCCTGTCGATGTGGAGGAACAGCGTCTCCTTGTCCGATCTCTAACGTAGAGCCCAGGCATCCTTTAGATGAAACTCATTTCTGCTGATTGCATCAACGATCATCACTATAGGTGAGGGTGAGGATGCAGACTGACCAATAAATCGACACGCTCCGCTCCCTCCAGCACAACGGACCGTTACAGCCTCCTCATAAGTGAAGTTTTAATTATTATTACAATATAAAAATTGTTAACTCCTAATTACTAGTGACTAACTAATTACTCAATCACCTAACAACACACACTCCTCTTCTGTTTCACACATGCATGCTGTGGTTAATGAACCAAACAAGAAAACAGTTTGAAAATTTCACTTTGTCACTTCCTGTCAGAGGAGTTTCTCGTGCTGTTTCTACGATCGCTCAGTTCCTCAGAACAGGAAGTCACTCTGTGTTGTGGCCATATTTCTTGATCCAAGCTGATAAAACACACACAACCTTCCTGTTGCACAGAGCTTCACAAATGACCACACAATGATTGCCTTTAACCTTCTATAGTAATTGTTTTGGCTGTGGTATAAGTACCAGAAATCAAGAGTTAAATGACAGAAAGAAGATTCTTTAAGTGCCCCTAAATCTCACGGCTTATTTCCTTCATAGCAAAGTAAAACATTACACAGTACAACAAGAAGATGATTATCTTTCAGTAAGACATTTATGGGCTTTTAGTGAGGAGAAGATGGTGTAGTTATAGTTTAAATTGTTATTCAGGCTACATGTAACAAATTAATTCTGACATGTTTGGTATCTTTAAATAAACTGGGATCTTGAGTGGAACATGAAAAATTATTTCTGTGAACCTGATATTTGACTGCAGTCTTTTAAAGATTAAAAAGACTGGTCAACTGCTTTTAAAAGGTTAATTTGTTATTCAAATGAGACTCGAGTGATGCAGTCACCTGTATGCGCCCACAAGCAAGGCAACAGGAAGGTGTCTCAGCGAGCTGCAGATGTTTTGATTTTAAACTGTTTTGAAGTGCTCATAATTCTGCAGATGTTTTTTTCTTCTGTTATCTTTAGATTAACCACTGCTATCAGTTACTCGAGCAGCTGGTTATTGTTTCCTGTAGTGGTTGGGGGCAGCTGCCTACATAGGCAGGCGCTGTAGCTCTTGTGAATTTTATTAATAAAGCGCCAAATAACAACAACAGTTGCCTCAAGGTGCTTTATATTGTAAGGTGGACCCTACAACAATACATACAGAGAAAAAGCCAACAATCATATGACCCCCTATGAGCAAACACTTTAATGACAGGGGGAAGGAAAAACTCCCTTTTAACAGAAGAGAACCCTCCAGGAGAACCGAGCTCAGGGAGGGGCGGCCATCTGCTGCGACCGGTAGGAAGACAGGACAAAAGACATGCTGTGGAAGAGAGATCGAGATTAATAACAAGTATCGAACTCACCTTCATCTCCTCCTTTCTTCTTCTCCTCCTTCCTGCTGTCATGCGTGGTTGACTTCTTGCTGTGTTTGGCAGCCTTCTGTACCGGACTCTGATGTCTCTCTCGGTCTCCGCTTCGCTTCTTCCCTTGACTTCCTCCGCCTTCTCTATCGCTATTCGTCTGTGCGTGGCGTTGCCGCCGCTCCTCGTCTCGGTTTCGGTCGCTGTGGTGGTTCTTGCTCGGCTCCTTGTTTGGTTTGGTGTGGCGGACGTCTTTGCGGGACACAGGGGGAGGAGGTGGTGGCGGGCTGGGTTCAGGTTCGGGCTCAGGGCTTTCGTATTCGTCTGAGTGATACCCTCCTCGCTGTGGGGGACTGTACTGGTCGTGCTGAGGAGGTGAGGGCGAATAGTTGGTGTGGTAACCTCTTTCCTCCTCTTCCTCCTCTACGTAGGAGCGGTCTTCCTCAGGCGAGGGCTCTCGGGGACGTTTATGGTCTCCTCTGCCGCTCGCGTCGTGGCCTCGAGCCTGCGTGTGAGATCTGGAGCCGTGGCTGTTGGGTCTGAGGAAGAAAGATGGAGACAGAACTCAGTTTTTGCAGATGACGCCATTTAATTTTGGGGTTTTATTTTGAAAGTTTGGATCTTCTGTACTGAAAAGTCATCGTTACATACGACCATTGCAGAAACAGAGCACACAGCGTACAGACACATGAGAGCTAAAGTCATGCATGTCGAGGCAGAGGTGTGCAGCCGATACCTGTCTCCAGACTGAGGAACCAGTTTCTTCCATTTGGCTACGAGATTTTTTGCCACCTCTCCAGCTAATTCGTGTTTCCTGAAGGAGTTCACAGCCTTTCCCACTCCAGTTTCCTACAAGAGAAATTCCCAGATTTAACAGTCATGCTTTGGCAGCTCCAGGCAAGCGATTTAACTGGCCAGAAACAAGTTCAGGAGGGAAGCTGTCAACTTGCTGTCCCACTCATTTATCTAGAATATTTTCCCTCTGATTTTTGCATCGACAGTTTGGAGGTGATGAAGCAACACATCCTTACCACCAATATGTCCACAGTCATAGGAAGCTCCCCGAGTCTTTTCAGAGTCTTCAGCAGCTGAAATAAAAAGAAAGGAAAAACAAACATTTATCATTTGGAGAAAGAGTCCCGATTCCACCACAGAGCCTTTCCTTATTTTATGTTACAGTGATGGTTGTTCATATTAGACGAAGCCAAAGACTCAAATACTGCAGACGTGACCACCTGTTCTTCAAACCTTTTGTTTGTGAGATACAGTCAATCACAAGAAAGTTGGACTTAAGGGAGACAGAGTGTAAGATAAATTATTTTGAATCAAGAACCGTGTAAAAGCTACTCTGGTTGAGTCCAACAATAAAAATATAGAGCTGAAATTAAGCAGAATGAGTTTGTTTAAATTTATTTTCCTAAAACAGTTACTGAAGCTGCTGTTTTGGTAAATATTACTGTTGAGCCCCCGAAAGGTGACAGAGGAGATTATTCCTGCCTTTGTTTTAACCTGGTCCCAACTAGCCCAGTGAATGGCTTTGTACAGTGAACACTGTGAGGTGTGAGGACTAAAAATGGAAAGACCACAAACTTTATTATTTTGTACTAAAATACACATAAGACAGCTAATTAAATGTATTTAGAACTTCTTTACGTTAAAATAAAGGCGGATTTTTATACAGCTGTATAAGTGGTCTGACCCACGTGATATTAAATTGAGCTGGGCCGGCCTGACACCTGTGGTTTAAACAGATACACAAGTGTTTCATAAAAACAATCCTTATAAGGAATTGTAACAACAGCAGTAAATTTGCTGGGACTGTTGTGGCCTGTTAACAGGTGACTGCTAGGCAACATAATGTAATCGTAGCGTGATACAGATAAGAACCTTCAGAGGCCTAAATTTGCATCCACACTGGAAGAGATTTGCTCGTCTTGTGTCGCTTTTTAATGTATAATGTATTTACTAGCAGTCTAAAATTCTTTGGCACTGGTTTGGCATTGACCATGTGAGGAATTTCTTATGAGCATATACAAGAGCTAAAGTCTGTGGGGGTTTTGTCTTTGTACACTTTTGTATTTTCATTTTATTTCCCAGTAAAAACAGAGGATTCAGATGCTAATCATCTTTAGGTTTCAGCAGGGATGCATCCACACAACACCTCCTTTTGAGACTCAGCAGAGCCAATTAAAATGTGGGACATTGTCTGAATACCTTAGATGGGTGGAGGGCTGATATGCTGTACAGGCCCAGGTAAAAAGTAGGACATGCGGTCACCCTTAATATAACATACACTGGAATGAGTGCATCTGGATAATGAGTAAAGAATCATGGGTGATGAATTTTTATTCATACATTTGTGTGGTTTCCTGTTATTTTGTCATAGTGAATAAGAAAAACATAAAATGAAGAAGCAGGGTATATTTCCTGTGCCAATTTGAAATATTTATTCTTAACTTTTCTCTTTAACGTCTGCAGAGTGTTCACAAGTAACACGAGATGATTTACCCTTTTGTGCTTGCCTTAAAAATGTCCCGCACTATTTCTAGTTTAAATAAAGGTCGACATCTTTACTGAAACCCAAAGATGTTATCCCATAGAACGGCAGCTGTAATAACAGTCTGAACACTGAACACAACCATTCAACGACTGCAAAACCAACTAAAACATCTCAAAAACATTTCATTTAAATTAAACACATTACATTAAAAAACAATAAACCGGGGAAGCTAGGGTAAACTCAAGGAAATTTTGAGCATTCAACAATTAATTTCCTACATTTCATGCCTCAATTTGCACTTTTTCCAAGATCAGTTTAGAAGGAAAAATAAAAAGGAAAAATCCTTTTTTCTTTTTTTTTTAAAAGGATTTTTCCTTTATGTAAAGGAAAACACAGGAATCAGTTCAAAAGAATCTAAAATGAAATGCAAAGAGACTCTAAGCTATTTTCAAATAATTATTCTCAATTTTTCTAATGTATCAATTTTTAAAACATTTTGTCGCCCATCAATATTTATTCGTCTGTTGTCTTTAGTTTGCCTGGTTCCTGACCAGTCAGACTGTAACGAGCTGACTGCTTTTGAGTCTTTGTATTTGGATCGGTAACCTCTTAAAATATTACTTTTCCATGTCTGAAATAAACTAACTCTCCATTTTCAACCTTTTCCATGTTCAGTAACAGATTCTGAGGTTTCAACCGAGCCTCTGGAGAAGACATAAGTCCTCTGCCCGAGGATTTCAAGGTACTGCTGCAAACGGTTAAAAAAAAAAGTAGATGTAGCTGAAGGCGACTACAGAGGGTCTTAAAGGCAATCAGTCTGTTACAGTCAGGCATGATGAGATAAAGGCAGGGATAAGATTCAGTGCGCCTTGATTACATTATTAGGTTTTCATTATTTGGGACCCAGTGGCAAGGCTTTGTATTTTTGTGTTTTTGTTTCTCCTGCAAAGTCCGAGTCACTTAAACAACTGGTACATCACAATTCATTATATATTAAAACTGGAAAAGTGAACAGGGCGTTAAAGCAGATTTTCATGCATTTCCTCCCCGAGATTTTCTCGGTAGAGAGGCTCCATCTGCTCCGTGGACCTGCTTCATATGAAACTTGCAGCTGCTGCCTGACTCACACTATCTGCGCTCAGCTCTGCGCCATCACTGCTAAAGGATGAGGTGGCCTAACGTGGCAGAGCTGTTAGAAAACCTTTTCCCTCCTGATTTTTGCGTCTTCTTTTGCAGTTAAAGCTTCACTTGTGCAGCTTGTTTGTGCTCAGCAAACGCATCACACGCATCCACGCTGCTTTGTTACACACCAGCAGTAAACAAAGGCGAAGCCAAGAGGCCGTGTGTCACCATTTACACGCTTTTATCTCCAGTTTTCTTTAACAATAGACTCCGGGTTTGGACATGAGTAGGAGCCCAGCTCCAGTTAACCAGAATCGGGTAAATCTCAGAGGCCTGTCGCCGCTGAGCTGTCACTACTTTCTAACGTTAGCTAGCTGAACGGCTAACGACTGCTCTAGCTTCGAGTTTGGTTTTCGGGTAAAATATGTCGTGTTTGGTGCAGCTGCTCCGATAAAAGGCAGAAAATAAATCCATATGTGCTAACAACGAGCTGACAATCGTTACATTGAGCTGAAAATGTAGGGTTAAACAACTACGTTATAACAAGTTAAAACCCCTTAATTACTGTGACGTCCCACACGGTGCCTTCACAGGCTGTCGGAACACACTGAGATACTAAGAAACGACTGTGTTTGTGGTGACGCCCTTCTGAAATACTGTTGTTAAGATAAATTTTTAACAAAGAAGATTACTTTAGACACAATAATAAATCACATAAATACGGTAAATGCCTCTCTACAATTTGAATTGATGCAATAACAGATAATGGTCATTTAGCAAGAAATACCCAGATATTGTCTTGTCCAAACTGGCCAAATGATTCAGCTAAACAGCCAAATAACATGCATTTACATTTTATTCAATCATTTGCATTTCAATTAAAGTCCCTAAAGGTCCCTGAAATATCAATTTAAACACTGCTACATAATTATGATTTACTAAATGATCAGCTTTTTATTTTTAATTTATTTTAACTAGAGCTTGGCCGATCCCTTAGCCAATATCAGCTATTTGCAGTGTTTGAATCGGTGTCTGAATTTACAATGGTCAGTAAATGAAAGTTAAGAAAGTAAAGAGATGGGAGAAACACCATTCAACCATATTATTAGTTGTGATGTTCCATAGTTTGTCCACCAGAGGGCGCTCTGCAGCTTCCCTGCTGGCAACAGGAGACAAATACAGCAAACAAGTAAATAAATAATCAAACGTGGCTGATGTCAGGGAAATTTGTTTATGTTTTGTGTGTTTTAAGGTTAGAAATATCTAGATATATAAAATATTGTATTTTTATCTAATCAGATATTGATATCACTCACACTTTAAATTGAATGTATCCTATCTCTGAAATAAATCCCACAATTCTGTGGGCTACAGAGGGTCATGACATTTTCAGTTTATATAATCAATGTGTATGACTAATTTAAATAAGTTTAATTATATTACAATATATATTACAATATATAAATATATTACAATTACTTGCTATAACTGAAAATAAATGGTTGGAAAAGAAATAGATTCAGATTTTAAAACATCCAGGGAGACGACAGGCTGTGTGAATTGTTCTTACTGTGATGAGGTAAGATTTAAAAATGCAGAGCTGTTTAGGGAATTTGGTGTTTTCTGCATGACACAGTAAAAAAAACCCAACAAACAAAATCACAAATATGAATGACACCATGCCAAAATTTTTTGTTAATCTATTACTCAATAAGTTGCATTTTAGAAATGTGAAAATGTGTACGACTGGCACAGATGCAGCTTCTGTTAACAAGTAAATGACCTGATGCATGCTCAATCTTCCAGGTAATAAAATCCCTGAAAGTTGACTCTGTTAATCTGGATGTGACCTTTTCAGTGGGAGAAATGTTTTGTCATTCATCCAAGTGACTTTTTCAGTCTCTGCTTCACTGAGTGACTGAAGAACTCACTTGAATGAGTGACGAACTGTTTTGGGAAGTACACGACCTGTTATTATTATGCAAGAGGGAAAAAAAGAACTTTAACTCTTACACTAAAGGAAAAAATAACCAGCACTGTGTTTAAAATATTAGTAACAACCTGTTTGAGTGGAGTTTAATTACTACGTAAAAAAAAAAAAAAAAAAAAAAA